CAGAAGGCTACCGGTGCCTGGTTGGTCGACTGATTTATTTGGCAGTTACGCGTCCTGAGTTGTCTTACTCTGTGCATGTTCTTGCTCAATTTATGCATCAACCTCGACAGACGTATTAGGAGGCTGCTTTGCGTGTTGTTCGATACTTAAAGGGATCTCCTGGGCAAGGCATTGTGCTTCGTTCTGACTCGGATCTTCAACTCTCTGGATGGTGTGATTCTGACTAGGCGACATGTCCCCTTACTCGTCGTTCCCTCAGTGGCTGGTTTGTTCAATTAGGCCAGTCTCCTATCTCTTGGCATACAAAGAAACAACATACTGTCGCACGTTCTTCTGCTGAAGCTGAGTATCGGGCTATGGCTACAGTCATTTGTGAGCTTAAATGGTTGAAAGGGTTACTACACAGTCTTGGTGTGTCTCATTCGCAGCCTGTACGTCTTTATTGTGATAGTCAGGTGGCTTTGCATATTGCTGCGAATCCCGTTTTTCATGAACGAACTAAGCATATTGAGGTCGACTGCCATTTCGTTCGTGATGCACTTGCTCAAGGCCTTGTTTCTGCATCTCACGTTTCTACTCATTCTTAGTTGGCTAATCTTTTTACTAAGGCACTTGGCAAGCGCGAGTTTGACTTCTTCCTTGGCAAGTTGGGCATTCGGAATCCCCATGCTCCAACTTGAGGGAAGGTGTTGATGTAATATTATATGTTATCAAATTTGTACATATCTTCTAGGATATTCTGTGAATATTTGATAGGCTATAATTAGGGATTTTTCTTATATTGTAATTAGGGTCTTGTAACTAGTGGCTATATAATGCCCTCTCTAATCATTGATGGATGAACAAGTTTTCCCACAAATCTCTTTGTCATCAGGACCTTGAAGATGTAGATCTTGTACGTCTCCACACTCTTCTTCGTCTTCTTCTTCTTCTTCTCGCCGCCGTCCTTATTTAGGACCTTCTTCCCAGCCTTGGGCTTCTTCTCCGCCAGGGCCTTCCCGGCTACCGCTGTCTTCTTCTCCTCTGTTGGCTTTTTCTCGGCGGGCTTCTTTTCTGCCTTTGCTGCCATTGAATCAACTGAGATTTGTGATTTGGAGAAATTTTTCTATTTTTTGCACGATTTGCGGAGGAGAATTTTTTGCGATGGCGGGAAAACTGAGAGGGGATTGGAATATAAATAGAGGAGAAAGTGAGATCTGATTGGTTGAGTTGAAATGACGAGGATGGTGGATCTGCACCGTTGATTAGTGTCGATGGTAGTAGTTGGCGAGTTTTGAACGGTACGATTGTTGGACAGGTGGCTTATTCTGATTGGTTGAAATTAGTGGGGGCGGACTTCACACAGGTTCGTTGATGAAGATAATAATCAACGGTACCGATTTGGTTGCAATAAATGCGAGAATATTGGTGTAATTTGCGTGCGAAAATATAGAGCCAAAAATAATATGGCCACTTAAACATTTTTAGTCTTTATATCTACCTTGGTGTATAATTTACAAGTAGAGGAAATCAAAATCGAGTTTGATCCCAAATAGTTCGCACTATTTTTTAATCCATATGTATTATTCATATTATTAATTTATATAACATGCCAAAATATTATTTAATTGAACATACTATTTTGTTAGCTAAATATTTTTATAATATTAGTCAGTCTACTACTAGTTTGAAATATTGATCGACAAATAATTGTTGTTTTTGTATATTATTTTGATTCATTTTATACTAATTCAATATAAATAAACATTTTAAGAAAATATTTTCATACAATTAAATTATAAATTTATTGGTACATAATTTGTTAAATAATAAAATTTTAGATAAATCAAATACATAAAATAAAAAAATAAAAAATAAAAAAAAAAATGCAGAGTAATAAATAGTATCGCGCCAAATGTAGAGCGATATTGTTCATAATTATAGAGTAGTATGGAAATGTAGCGCAGTGTTGGATGACAATTTTATCGAAAATCTAGCGTAAAACGCTAGAATAACGCAACCTTAGAGCTACGTTTATCATGGTATTATTAGGTATATTTTAGTTAGATTTTTCTTTTCTATTAAAGAAAAATGTTTGAAAACAAAATAATGAAAAAAATGATTTTAAAAATACGATTGATTATAAGTTGACATATCAAAATGGGTTCAGGTTAGATTTTAGAGGCACGGGCCAACCCGTGTAGACTATGTGCACTGGCAAAGCAAATCTAGCAAGCAAGGGCTGGTCCACTGTAACGCAAAGTTCGTATTATTTTATTGATGAACACGAGAACTCTGTAATAATTTACTATCAACATATATAGTGTGCAAAAAGACCTCAATATGGTTTGCACGACCCATGTCTGCTTCATGACATGTTCGAAGACCTGCTAAATGGACTGAGAGGTGTTCCTGACATTAGCACTTCGACGATAACATCAATCTACAGTGATGAAGAATAAAATGAACAATAGATATAAGCTTTGTAAGTATAAAAAGTGTGTAGAGTGTAGACAAACATACATTACCCCTTTATATAGGCCAATAGGGGCATACCTTGTTGTCCAGGACTACCTGAATGGGCCGCTCAAAACTGCCCAAACTACCCGTTCGTATTGCTTGGGTGCCCGAACTGCACAATTCTATTAGGACACGTTGTGCAATCCACTTGTGGTATTTATCTTAATTATATTTGTTTTTTCATACCCATTAGACTTCAGTGCTAGACGATCTAATCGCACGACCGACCCAACTTTTTATGAGGTAGAAAGTCTTCCACACTAAACTCGTTCACTCTTTTCCATCAACAATCATGCATTTAGTTCGAGTTTCTACCATGTCATATGAGGGTCCTAGCTCTACCACTCGGTGATCCTTTTTATCTTTGGCGACCTCGTCGACCTGAAGACTCTTCGATATTTGTTTGACCTACCAGTTCAACCAGTTCAATTAGCTAGTTTCTCATGTCAAGTTAACCCAGTATGTTATTCCAGATCGTCTAGTTTCTCACAATCTGGTCGAGTTAGGATAACTCGATCTAAGAGTAAATTCGATTATCTATGGTCTCTCTTATTGAGCTTACACCTCATCACATCAACCACCTCACTTAGAATTATTTTATTTAATCTTAAAACATTGTTTTCGATCATCAGTTGATGTATAGAGCTCAAATTTTGAATTTAAAATCTTGCCATTATCAGATTACATCAGTCAAAATGTCCTTTCGATGCAACCGCCTCTTCACCCTTGTTGTCCTTGTGCAGTGTGTCATTAAAAGTTGCATTAAGTCCGATCGTCTGGTTCTTCTCTAATCAAACAACTCTTATTGGGTTGTCCTTTCAACTCCCTTTTTCAATATCATCAGTCCATTTTGACTTTGATCCGATAGTATTGCTCGACCCACCCACACAATTTACACTTTTTATCTTGAGCTCCCATTTCGACCACGATCCGACAAGCAGGATTGATCGACCTCTCATGCTTCTTCTTCCTTTTACCCATAAATAAAACCCTTGCCTAATTTTCCAGACTTTCCACATCTGCAACAAAAGTCTCTCCCTATAATTCTCTCCATCTCTGCAACATCTGAAGTCGTCGTCGTCACTACTCTGTCGTCAACCGCGCTCTGTCTATTTCAACTGTCAAGCAATTATGTCTTTGAGTAGGTACTTTTTCTCTCTGTAATTTCATTGCATGTGTTCGATTTGTATTTCAATTCTCGTCCTTCATTCATCTGCTCCTACATTCATTTTCCATCTATTTACACCCATATTTTTTTTTAATTTTCTTTTAGATTCTTGTGCCACTAGTGATTCTGATGGGACTTCCGTCGGCTGGGATATGAGCTCTTCATCATCTTCTTTGACCTCTTCTCTTCCTCTTTAGAGCTCATTCCCCAGCCGATTTCTATATTTTTTTCGACCTTCTCCACTTTCTTCAACTGCTTGTTCTTCTTCTAGACATGTTCCATCTTCTTTGATTGCCCTTTATTTTGTTGTAGTTTTGAGTTTACTATGGTGATGTAGATTTTTTTTTTTTAATATCATGTTCCAGTTGCTATCCTTTGGCTTATGTCGTCTTTTAGGCTGCCCCAGTCAATCCTGGACCCCAAGCCCCTGCCCCCTTCAAGAACTTGTGGATTAAATTCGGGATGCGCCCCAAATAATTTTCAGTTTGACCTCCTTTATACCCTTGGGTCCTAGGAGGCCTAACGCCACAGTTAAAATTGCCAGCATGACATTCGCCGCAGGTTCCTTCTCTTGGGTTTCGAACCCCCTACGCGAAGCTTACAAGCCCGACGTAGATTGTTTATCCCACCACTAGGTTATGCTATGTAGGGGGTGATGTAGTTATTTGACTTGTTTATCTCCATCTCTGCAACATCCAAAGTTGTCATCACCGCTACTCTATCATCGACCGCCGCACTGTCTATTTCAACCGTCAAGCAATTATGCCCTTGAGTAAGTACCTTTTTCTCTCTGTAATTTCATTGCATGTGTTCGATTTGTATTTCAATTTTTGTCCTTCATGTATATGCTCCTACATTCATTTTCCATCTATTTATCCCTATATTTTTTTAAATTTTCTTTTAGATTCTCGTGCCACCAGTGTTCTGATGCGGCTTCCGTCGGTCGGGATATGAGCTCTCCATCATCTTCATTGACCTCTACTCCTCCTCCTTAGAGCTCATTCCCTCCTCAAGAACTTGTGGATTAAATCCGGGGTGCCACAAATAATTTCCAGTTTAACCCCCTTTATATCCTTAGGTCATCTCAGAAGGCCTAATGCCATAGTTGAAATTGTCAGCATGACATCCGCCGCAGGTGTTCGCCTATATTTTTAAAGCTCGACCGCAAGTGTACGGCTTCGCTCGTAGTATGTGGCAAACAAGATCGTGTCCCAGGAGACCAAATAATCAATATATCAAGTACTAGATTATGATAATGTCAACTTTATTTAGAAGATAAAAAATGGATAGATTAACTGAACTAAAAAATTATAATCAAAGAAAATAAATCAAGAACGAGGAATAAACTAAAGAACACGTAAGACAAATATATGGGAATGAGGGATTCCAAGACTGTGGATTCAATTAACAGTTAGGATTCTTCAGAAATATCAGAACTAAATGTTTTCTTTATCTACCCTATAAGACGATCACAAATTTAGCTTATCGTCCCTCTCGAGATCGAGATTAAATCACACGTATTAGCGTCTCCACTCAACACATGCAATTCAATTCCAAATAGATTAAATGATCTAATATCCTCACAACGACCTACTAACCTCTCGATTCAAGCAAGTAAATTGTGTCAAATATTATAGACCTAATATTAAACTCATCTCTCGTATTATGGACAATATTATCGAACATATAAAAACATTGGCCAAGTGCTAAACATGAAACAAGAGCAAAATATTTGAATAGGGTTCAAAAGAAAAATAATTAATTATAAATAAATCATAAAAAATCCAACACGTTAATCTACTACCAAGTTTTAGAATTAAATAAACTAACCATCCAGGTTCGAATTCAAATACATAGACATACTGGAAACTGGCATGATAAATAAAAGTTCAAAAGAAAGAATAAAGAAAAACTAGGAATCTCGGTGATCTTTCAATCTTCTTGATCCCTTCGTAGTTGATCTTCTTTTTGCCTCTCAATTGATTCTCTTGTGTATTCTAGAGCTCCACTCCTTGTGTCTTACGTTCTTCTCCCTCAAAATAAAGTAAATATGCCTTTTATAATGTCTAAAAGCCTTCTCCTTTTCAAAATAGGCAAGATATAAAAAACAACCTGCGTGCGCGACACTACCACTTTGCCCGTGTCATTGATTGTGTCGCAGCCCGTGTCAGGTCCCTGGGCTTCGAACTCTCCCTGTTAAGGTGACACGGCCTCCGACACGGGCATGGTGCCTGTGTTGCTGCCTGTGTCACAAATCTGCACTCTCATTTTTGCTCGCTTCAATCGTTTCTTCTATTTTTTCCATCAGTGTATCAATCTTTCATCATCTCGCTGGTCTTAGGTACTCACCATGCGCCTCCAATATCCAAAACCTCTACAAATATGTGGATATATCGACAAAACAATCACGTGTAATACCTTTTCAACAAAAATAGAATAAAAGCAATATAATGCAATTTATACACCAATAATGAAATGAATAAGCTCTAGATACTATATAAATATGGTGTAGAATCACACATGAATAGCAAGTTTCTTCTCTTGGGTTTCGAACCCCCTACGCGAAGCTTACAAGCCCGTCGTAGGTTGTTTATCCCACCACTAGGTTATGCTATGTAGGGGGTGATGTAGTTATTTGACTTGTGTGACCTTCTCAAGATATATTTTTGTTTCTTCTTTCTTTTTCTTTTAATGTGAAAAATTAAAAGTAAAGCATATTTTATTTAAAGTTTGAACTGTTTGTAGCTTTCTTTTAAATTTATATTTAAAGTGAAATTATTATTTTTGATCAATTATCCATTCTTTTTTATTTTTTAAAAGTTTTACATAAGCTGGAAAATTAACATTTTTACAATTTCTATAATCCATAACTTTTGTAATTTTTTTTTTGAGGAATTTATACTCCATACTAACATATTTAATGTATATAACGCTTTTGCACCCCTTATATTCTTATTTATAAAATTACCTAAAGAAGTTAAAAAATATTTCAATTATACCTAACATACATTATTTAACTGTTATTACCTTTTTATTTGCACATTAATGCTAATGAGATACTTATTTGAAATTAGAGATGCACTTACCTAAAAAATAGGAATTGCTAATCTGAATCATCGTTTATTGCTGATCTTCAACCTTCTTTTTAACTAGAGGGTTGAAGATTGAATCATCGTTTAATTGTTGTGTATTTGTTCGATCTGATGTTTGGTGTAGCTGATCTGATTTTTAGTTCACAATTTTTTTGTTTGTGGGAATTGCTGATCTGATTTTTTGTGCACAATTTTTTTGTTTGTGGGGATTTCAAATTATCATTGATCGGGAGACTGGTAGATCAAGGGGTTTCATATTCGTTACTTTCGGTGACGAAAAGGCAATGAGGGACGCGATCAACGCCATGAACGGCCAGGAGCTCGACGGGCGGAACATCACCGTGAATGAGGATCAGTCCCGCGGCGGTGATGACGGTGGAGGAGGTGGGGGTTTCCGTGGTAGTCCTCGCCGTGATGGTGGTGGGTATGGAGAGAGGAAACGACGGAGGTTACGACGACCGTCGTGAGGGTGGGTACAACGGTGGAAACTATGGTGGTGGGTATGGAGGACGCCGGGAGGGTGGCTACAGCAGTGAATGTGGTGGTGGTTATGGCGGCGAAACCTATTGAGTTGATTGAGTTGAAACCTATTTCTTTAAAATATACAAAGAACAGTTGTGATTTGTATCAAAAAACATAATATGTTCACATCAGTATATATTGCGTGTATAAACAAATATTATATATTGTGTGTATATAGAATATATGTTCAATATATGTTGTATATATAGACAATATATACTAAATATAAACTCAATATATACTGTCCATTCAAGACATGAAATGAATATAAGTAAATTGTTATAATATGGTTATAAACTATATGAGTAATGCTCCTCTACCCACAGTGGGAACATGTTAATATGTCCACCGGCTTATGTGGCATGCACACATTGATGATGTTAATATATATAAAAAATTCATCACTAATGTATGCATGCCACATGAACGGTGGACATATGTCAACCATGGGTATGAAAGCATTACTGTAAACTATATATATACTTTTATGCTTTTTTTTATGGTTTTGTGGTGTATATGTATGGTTTATTTTTCTAGTAAAATTATTTACAAAGCATAAAAGTAAAATAAACAACATGTAAACTCAAAATATACTAAAATATATTCAAAAACTGATTTAAACAAGACTATTTTTTTTTTCTGTATATGTATGGTTTATATACATAGTCCAAACAAGCATAACTGTTATTAAGGAACTCTTGACAGTTAAAATGTGATCTATACTTATATAATAAGGTATCTTTTTTTACCAAATTAAGTAGGTAGAAAAGTCAACGTAATTATTGCTATTTCTATCCATAATTTTATTTAATTATTTAATTTATTTGTCTTATATCCCATAAAATCGGTTTAAGAAAAAAAAATCTCATAACATCCAATAAGTAAAATAAAAGTACGTAAAATCTTTACTAAATTAAAAAAGGCTTTATTTATTTGTCTTGTTCCATAATAACATCGATTTAGTAAAAAAAAAGTCCCATAAAATCGGTTAAGTAAAAAATTCTACGTAAGTCTATCTATACTAAAAAAAGGCAGATTCAAAATTCCTTATCTAATTCTTTCTTTCTTATCTATATTTTATACTTATATAAAGAGTCATCCTACTTAAAAAAAAAAAATAAAAAATTATTGTACTCGAAAAATTATTACGCCTCCTCTCTTCCGTCTAAACCCTACCCCTCTTTCCATCCAGCGCCTCCTCTCTTCCGGTGAATCCGCCTTCCTCGGCGTCGATTTTGCTCGTCTAGGAGTCGTCTCAACCGCTTCCTCCCCCCCATTGGCTCCGTACTCCCCTATCGCTGCCTCAGATGGCCGATTGACGAGGGCCTCCTGTTCGCGTCTGCAGATGATTTTTCGTAAGACGGTGGTGCTCCTCTCGGTCGGAGTAACGCTAGCGTTTGGGGTCGTCTCAGAAGCTAGTCGAGCTGCGATTTGTGTGGGTAAGCCCTGTTTTCCCCTTTGTCTGCTATTTTGGTTTCCTCCGGCGGGGTTCACCTGTTTCTGGAGGGGCCCGGGCTGCTCGTCGTCGGATGTTTGCGGTGGTGTCGGGTGGAGTGCGAGCTTTAGGGCGGGGTGGGGCTCTGGATTCTGCGGCTTCCTTTGTTGCTGGAGTTTGGGGAGAGGACAGTTTCTTCCCTTGCACAATCCCTCGTCTGTCTAGTGGTGTTAGACGGTGGGGGAGGTTCTTTTTGGCCTCGTCTAGTGGTGTTAGAAGAGTCTGAATGGAATCGGTGTGGGCGGATTTGGCTCTCTCGGTTGCGATGGGTCGATTCGGGGACTGGTTCAGTGTTAGGTTGTTGCTATTGTATAGGCTTGATTGCAGTTTCGGTAGCGGGTTCCTGACCTGGATTGGTCTTGTGTCGATCGTTCACTGCTGGTTCGAGCTTGCTCGTTTCGCTGGGGAAGTGCCGTTTTTATGTTTTATGTTTTTGTTTTTTGTTTTTAGTTTTTGCTTGTTTGTGTCTGTTTAGTTTTAGTTTGTCTTGAGTCAGTGTTCGTTTATTTTTGGTCTTGTTTTTTAGGTTTGGGCTGTTGGCCTCAGTTCTGATTCCCCTGTGAGGGGCGTTTCTATTCTCCTGTGGGGAGCGATCGTAGTTGGTGTGTTTGTGTCTTTTAGTTGTGTGTTTTTTATTCTAGCGTGGCTAGCGAGGTTCTAGGCGGACTTTAGATCCGTCCTCTCAGTTTTTAGTTCTGGGTTGTAATATTCAGCCTTGGGCTGCTTTTGCACAGTTGTGCGTTTTGATATATAATATCTCTATCGTTTCGGAAAAAAAAAGAGTCATCCTATTTATTAAAATTAATAGCAAAAAAATAGGTCAGCATTAAATGCAGCTCATAAATAGTAGTTTTATTATTTTTCTTATTATTTTCTTTAAAAACCATACAATTTAATTTATAAATACGCTCTAATATAATCATACAATTTAATTAAAATAATAAATAAATATTAAATGGTGAACAAGAATAAGTAAAACTGTTACTTTCTCTTAAAACAAGAGATAAATTTATATGCTAACATTAA